TGGAAACAACGGAAGAGGTGCAGCAACAATATGTCAATAATCAGAAAAAATGTAATGGCCGACAGCACCAACAATACATCAACAATTACAAAAGGATAATGGCCGACATCAGCAACAATACATCAACAATTACAAAAGTATAATGGCCGACAACTACAACAATACTTCAACAATGGGAAAAGTATAATGGCCGATAACAAAAACAATACCACAACACTGGATGAATAGAAATGGCCGACGACTAATAGTAGGTAAATATAAAACTACTTGTTAATAAAGTAATAGCACTGTAATAGTATTTTCTTGCCATAATTTTTGTTTTATGAGTGTTTTTTATAGTAATATTTATATTTTTTCTGTTTTATAACATATTGCAGTCCCAAAAATGCCTCTAGTCCTTTAAAATCTATTAAAATATAGTAAATTAAAATAATACAAAACTAGAAGGATACTATAAACGTTTTAACATTGTTATTTAAACAATCTGTTGTGTGTCATTGTGTTTAAAACAAATAAAATGTTTAATTATAATTTATTTATCCATAATATCCTTCAGTAAGTTCCTGGGTTTTCAACACATTTATATTTGAATGTTAAAATTTCAAAAGCCTAATTGTATTTTTTCTGTAAGGAGGCCTGGAAACAACGGAAGAGGTGCAGCAACAATATGTCAATAATCAGAAAAAATGTAATGGCCGACAGCAGCAACAATACATCAACAATTACAAAAGTATAATGGCCGACAACCGCAACAATACTTCAACAATCAAAAACATAATGGCCGACAACGACAACAATACTTCGAATCTTTATTTATATAATTTTTTATACAAAAGTGGATTTATTGAACAGACACTTAATCAATAGAGATCAGCATGTCACTATTTTGTTAATTTTTTATTTTTCATTAAGTATTTTAATTTTCATTTCGCTTTGATGCTTGTAATATGTTCTCAAATTGAATTTGTTTCAATTATATCCCTGCTCATCATCATTTAAAGTATATTATTATTTATTTACAATAAATCCCAACGCTTCATTCCTTATTTATTTATTTATTTGTGATGCCGTTAAACATACATAAAATATCCAAATATGACTAATACAAATCTCAGGGTAAATAGCTTTGCAATTACTTCCAAATAAGCCCCAAGTTGGGATTCATTGTAAAATGAATTCAGGCATTTTGTGTTTAAGAAATTATACTGAGTAATAAGTACTACAAAACGTACAAAATTTTATTGAATACGATTACAAGTTAAGTAAGTTAGAGGCGAGTCATTACGTCAATCATAATCAATGATAAAGTGGATAATGCAACTAATGAAAACTTACCATCATATCCTTAATCGGTTCATGGTTTCTTTCTTAACCAGGAAACACGAACCCCCTACATGGCATTGTCAACGGATATTAACATTGCTGTGAACAAAATCAATCGTTAGTCTTTTTACAAATTTCTTAAACATATTTATAAGTAAAAAATATACTTTTACGAAAAATTAGTTATGGTGGTTCTTACAACATTATTATCGGTTAAAACTGAGTAGCAAATTTAAAAATATAACTCATAATGATACCAGGAAAACAGGGGTGGAACTGCATAATAAGTAATATAAGGGTGAAAGATAGTAATCGTAAATGAATTCATGCGAGGATTAAATAAAGTATAGGTGAAATCATTACGATTGGAATATCTGTATGATTAGGGTAAATAAAGTAGTAAATTATAGTCACAGCGAATAAGTGCAATAAATTCATGAAAGAACGCTTGAGGGTGAGAATGTCAAAGTAAAAGAACGAATAAGAATATTGGTTGAAATACATCCAACGAAGGGAGTACGAGTACGTAATGGTAAAAGATAGTAACCGTGAATGAACNGCCGACAGCACCAACAATACATCAACAATTACAAAAGGATAATGGCCGACATCAGCAACAATACATCAACAATTACAAAAGTATAATGGCCGACAACCGCAACAATACTTCAACAATCAAAAACATAATGGCCGACAACGACAACAATACTTCGAATCTTTATTTATATAATTTTTTATACAAAAGTGGATTTATTGAACAGACACTTAATCAATAGAGATCAGCATGTCACTATTTTGTTAATTTTTTATTTTTCATTAAGTATTTTAATTTTCATTTCGCTTTGATGCTTGTAATATGTTCTCAAATTGAATTTGTTTCAATTATATCCCTGCTCATCATCATTTAAAGTATATTATTATTTATTTACAATTAGTAGCTGTAAATTGGATCATAAATTACACAAGTTTCATAAATTTATTTGTCACTTACCTACCCTTTTATTAGGTAATATCTATATTAATTTAACAGTTTAAAAGATCAGTAAATCCACTTGTAAAATTTGAATAAGCACATTGTAATGAAATATTTAAGAATAATGAATAAGACGCTAGTACATACTTATGTTAAGATGCATATCAATATCTTAGGAAGATAAATTTAAATTATATTAATGAAACATTTAGAAACCTTCATGTTAAGATCATAGATAATAATTTGAACTGTATTTATCTTAGTTTTCTGCTTTTATATTCAGGTAGATTAGTAATTAATAGGTTTATCACATACCTTTACATTTAAGTACTCATGATGTTGTAAATATCTATGTAATGATATATAAACTGTGATTTGGGGACTTTATTGTGGGGTGAGAACGATAGAATGAAAGTAATTAGAATGAGTGAGGGTAAAAATGATTAAGAGATAAGGAGAATGGTAGAATGTATAATGTGTGCAAGGATGAAAGAAGGAAGGTGAGGATGTGTGTAAGAGAAAGGGCGTGAAAGAGAAAATGAATAACAGTGAGGGCGAGAAGTGTGACAGAAAGAGACAGAGTAAGAAATAAGTGTGTCAATGTAAGGGTAGACGAATGAGGGTGACAGTATGTGTAAGAGAGTGTGAGTGAGTGAGTGAAAGAGTGAATAAGAGTCTCAATGAAAGAGTGCAACACAAATATGCATGAAAGAGGGCATTAGGGTGAGATTGTAAAAGTGAAACAACAAATGAGAATGAGGGTGAAAATGTATGCAATGACAGTGTACGTTCGTGAAAGAATAAATAAGGGCGTCAATTGAAAGGGTGAAAGATCGAAGAAAATATGGGCAAAACAATGCATGGACAGTTGAAATCCGAGGATGAAAGAACGAATGAGTTTGAGGGTAAGGATGAGTTCAAAAGAGAGGGCGTGTGTGTGTGAGAGAAAGATAGGAAGATGGTTTGAGTTTATATCTTCATAAATTCATATTTCATCTCTCACACATACACCACAGCGCTCTTTTGGACACGTCATCGCCCTCAGCGTGAAGGAGGGTGTGCGAGAGTGAATGACAGTGGAGTGAGAGATTGAATAAAGTGTGTTAGAAATGAGTGTAAGGGTGAGAATGTGTGTGAAATGGAGAAGTTGTGTGTATGTAAGAAAGAGAGGAAGAGGGTATGAATTTATACTCTCATAACTTCGTACTTCATCTCTCTCATATACATATACACAGCCTCTTTCGCACACATTATCACCCTCAGCGTGAAGGAGGGTGTGCGAGAGTGATGTGAGAGAATGAATAAGGGTGTCGATGTAAGGGTAAAAGAAAGTATGCATGAAAAAACGAATGAGTCTGAAGGTGACAATGTGTGCGAAACAAAGAGGGTGTGTATGTGTGTGTGTGTGAGTCAGAGTCATCCCAGGAATGAATGAGGGTGTCAATATATGTGAAAGGGTCTGCATGTGGGGGAGATACAAACTATTTTCATACTCCCCCACATTAAATACTCTTTTACACCTATTCTCACTCCAGGAATGAATGAGGGTGTCAATGTGTGTGAGAGGAATGTGTTAGAATGCGTGGGAGATAATGAATGATTGCGAGGGTGAATATATGAGAGAACGAGTAGGTGGAAGGTATTAAAATGTTTGTATAAATGAAAAACTGTATGAAAGGGAGAAAATGTGGATGAAGGTGAATGGTATGCAAGTATGAAAATGAATGCGAGGATGAATACATGAGAGAACGAGTAGGTGGAGGGTGAAAATGTGGATGAGGTTAAATGGTATGCACGAGGAAATGACTGCGAGGATGAATATATGAGAGAACGAGTGTGTGAAGGGTGAAGTTGTTTGTATGAATGAAAAGAATGTGAGGGAGAGCAAATATGAATGAGGGTGCGTGGTATGCAAGAGAAAATGATTGCGAGGGTGAATACATGAGAGAACGAGTATGTGGAGAGGGAAAGAATGTATTCGTGGGAGAAAAAGGGGTAAGAATGGGTGACAGGAAGAATAAAAGTGGGGCAGAATGTATGTAAGGGTGAAAGTGTTTGTATGAATGAGAAGGTGAGAATGTGTGAGAAAGAGGGGTTGTCTGTGAGAGAGAATGAATGAGGGCGAGAATGTGTGTATGAGAGAGGGTATGTGTGTGAGAGAAAGAGAGTATAAATCTGTACTCTCCTCTCTCTCACACACACGCTCTTTCTCAAGCACACACTCTCGCCCTCGGCGTAAAAGGGGGTGAGAATGTGTTCATGAGAGAGTGTGTGTGTGTGAGAGAGGGTACAAATCCGTACCCATCTCTCTCACACGCACTCTCTCATACACACATTCCCACCCTCGGTATGAATGAGGGTGTGTGAATGTTAGGGGGCGATGCCCCCGGGGTAAAGGGGGGACAAGGGGGCAACGCCCCCGGGGCAAGGGGGGAGAGAAGGGGGCGAAGCCCCCGGGGTGAGAGGGGAGACAAATAAAACGAGAGATAACCCTTATACTGTGTTTTATTTTGACAAAAAAAAATTTTTCAGGCCTACCAGGTTTAGTGCGAAAGGTTTTGTTAATTCGAAGAGCGTCCGGGACAAGGCCCGGACGTTGGATTGTCCAAATTCGAACTAGGAGGCCCCCAACACCTGGAAGTCGGAACTTCCGGGATACTAAGTCTCAGAAACTTCGAAATTCGAGTCCCAAGTTCTCCAAAACAAAGGTTCCCGAAGGAATCCGATGTTTTGGAGGCCTTGAGATTCGAATTCCGAAGTTTCCAAGACCCAGGNCCCCAAGACCTGGAAGTCGGAACTTCCGGGATACTAAGTCTCAGAAACTTCGAAATTCGAGTCCCAAGTTCTCCAAAACAAAGGATCCCGAAGGAATCCGATGTTTTGGAGGCCTTGAGATTCGAATTCCGAAGTTTCCAAGACCCAGGATCCCGGAAATTCCGAGATTCCGGGTATTGGCGACTTCGAAGTTCGAATCTGGACGCTCCAGAACACTCCCGACGCGATACTCCCGATCGAAGTCCCGCGGATGGTCCTGATGATGGTCCTCCTGCAACAAAGAGATAATTGCGTTATTATTTTTCAAGCGAAGTTAAAAATGTTATATATTAGTTATATTGATTGTTTATAACAAATACTTTCCTTATTTTCGAACAGTGTTAAATTTTATAAAAGGAAATTAAACAATTATTAAAGTGGTAAAAGAAAAGTAAATTAAAATACATTAAAATATGAAGAAATTATTAAAAAGTGATGATATAATGTTATCTCTATAAGAAATAAAAGCATATAATTGCTAAAATAACTGATAAGATGAATTCTAAAAGTAAAATTCGTAGAATTTCCCTAAACAATATAATAATAAAGTGGAACAATAAGGAAAGTAAATGATATAAGTAAGTTAAAATATGATTAAATTGATTAAGATAAGGTACACAGGTCAAAGTGATGGTGCATCGAATGCATAAGAGGAAGAAAATTTTATACAAACAACTTCTACCACCATATAACCATTCTCTAATATATTCATCCTCGCAACCATTTTTTCTTGCATACCATTCACCCTCATCCACATTTTATCCCTATCATACACTTTTTCATTTACACAAACATTTTCACCCTTCACATACTCATTCTGTCTTATATTCACCCTCGCAGTCATTTTCTCTTGCGTACCAATTCCCCTCATTCACATGTTTATTATTACAATGATATTGACATCATTGCAGGAATCTATGAATATGTAAAAAATATTAAAATTTACAATANTACAGGATGTTCTATTTGATTATATGTCCACCGTATGCTAAGGAAGATTTTTAAGTACTTTATTTAATATAAGCAATTAGGATAAAATTAATAACTTCGTTATTCTATCAGTTTCAACTTAAGTAAGAATGAAAGTTGAAGATATTGTTAAAGGACTCATTCCTAATATTAATTTTGGTGAAGGCGCCGGATTAAAATAGTATAAGGACATCTACGACTCACCCTCATTCATATTTTCACTTCTTCGCATCCTTTGTCATTCGTATAAACAACTTCACCCTCCACATACTCGTTCTCTCTTATATTTACCCTCACAATCATTTTCTCTTACATACGACTCACCCTCAATCATATTTTCTCTCTTTCACATTCTTTTTCACTCATACAAAAAATTTCTTTTTGATTAAACGAAGCTAAGCAAATGTTATTTATAAAGGAAAGTAAATGTTATAAACAATTAATATAAAAAATAGAAAATTTGCCTCAAAGTAATGAAAACACTAAGCCAACTCAAAATAAGGTAAGTTCAAATATGATTAAATTGATTAAGATTAGGTACACAGATTCAGGTGATGATGGGAAATAAAGAAAATTAATTTTATTATTTGGTAACCTAATTTTAAAAAAGGTTTAGAGACTAAAACTAAAATTAAAAGAGGAAGTAAATGCATGAAATATACATAAAAGAACAAAGATAAAAAAGGACAAATTTTCGTTCCAAAATAAAGAAAAATTATATTGGAGAAAAATGGATGTATTTTATACATTTTCTGTTACGTGGACTTCCTGGCTGATACAAAGATAAACTATAGTGCAATAGCAAACATCAGGTTGATATATATGATTTTTTGCAAATTTGTAAAATTTTTACAAAAATAATTTCTAATTATTCCCCTAATGTATGCATATCACTGAAGAAAGTCAAGCAAACTCAAGGGGTGGAAACTTTTTTATTGCTGTACATAATCATGTCAACATTTCGCTTTATAATGTTAATATATTATCAGAGTAGATTACAAAAATCGCAATCAGTTTCTCGAAGATGTAGATTGTCATTAATGTTCACCCTTAGGTTATAGTAAAATAGTATAAGTAAAAAAGCACAATTATTAATACTTATATTTCTATACTACAGTTGTATTGTAAGTGTTTTCTACTTATTGTTCTTTTTTTCTTAAGCAATTTTACTATATGCTAAGGGTGAATCAATATTAATGACATGTCTATCTTTTAGAAATATCTACAGTTTCTACAACCCCTAATTTTTTTACAAAAATTTCATCCAACTTCACATAGCACTTGTTTCTTTTTTTTCTAAGTAAAGCTATCAAAATATTATATTGCTTCTGTCTTTGTACTTGTGCTGTGTATGAAATGCGATGAAATATTTATTTATTATTATTATTAGGTACTATACGTATAGATAACAATAAATAAAAAACTTGAAGTGTAGATTCAAATTCAGTGAAGAGCAAGGTTTTTTTAATTGTAAAAGGCTTTTTTAAAATAACTTTTCGTTGTTAATACACTATTAATTAAATCAAATGGTGTGGTTTGCTATTCAGGTACTTATATATTACCAACACAGAACAAATTTTAACGCAAATGTAGACATATATAAAACAATAAATAATTACAAAAAATTAAAAGCAATATATAAACAGCACAGATACAGATTTTAATAATTTAAAGTACTTATTAATTTATCTCTGCATCTTTTATTGTTAATACACTGTTTTCAATTATTTACAATTATTTATTACCTCATCTATGTAAAGAACTATTATGAAAAAGACTCACTAAGGTGAAATGCTGGCTGTCGCTTTTAAATGCCTTAGCGATTAGAATTGTGGTACAACAAAAGAAAGAGACGGA